ATATATATATAGATATATATATAGATATATAGAATATATATACAAGTACCACCTAGAACACAGAGTCGGCGAAATTACCATTCCTCTAACGTCACCGCATAAAGAATGTATCCCGAGGGCAATGTATTTATATTCTTTGTAATATCAAAGAAAGGCTGTGATTGTACTCTATAGTTATGTACCCGGACTGATTCGTATTGAAATAAATGGTTATAGCATCCAGAGCCGCGGTCCAAACTAAACTTTACACAGCAGCTGCTGCCTTGTTTTAGCCCAGTCCAAAAGAAATAATGATGACTCAGAGAGCTCTTTGTCCTCAAACTCCGCAGAGTCCCGTGAATTTCGTTTTCCATGTACCTGCTTACTAGGCTGACTTCATTCTCCAGTTTAATATATCGCCATCTGATACAGTGACTTGAAACAAAAAATAACCTTTTAAGACAGCATGATGTAAACAGTCCGTCTTTGTCTTGGCAGGGGCTGAAAATGGCTTTTGGTTTGAAGAACAAGCCCACCGCTTAATATCAAGCTAGTGTCATTTCATGCGAGAACTGCAAACTGCTATTATAACAATCTTTTTCTCAAACATTACCATTAAAAGTCAGTATACTGAGGGGAACGTGTCATTTTAACAGAGTTAATGGGACCATTGACTTTTTGTTTCATTAGGTTAGTTTGGTGTTCAAATCTGTTCTTAGCTTTACAGTGCTGTACATTAAAGCCCAAATGAAGTTTTATTTCAAAGCCAATAAATATAGTAAAGGTGCATTAACATAAAAGGTGTTTAAAGTTTTAGTTTGTTTTTTTAAAAGCAGCCACATCCTGAGTAGAAATGCCTGCTCCCTGCCAGCATGCTGCAGAGAAGGAACCTTGTTCCCTGTGTTAGAGCAGTGGTGCCTCTGTATAGGTCTAATACACCCTCTGCTGAGCCAGCCCAAAAGCTGGTCATAGACGACTAAAATGTTGGCCAATTCCTGCTGAATCGACTGAAATTCAAGCTGTAGGTGGCCCTGTAAGCACCATTTGGCTCTACTAAAGTCAGTTTGAATATCGACTGAGCTGGCTGGAAACAGCTGAACAGCATTGTATAAGATGTAGTTACTGTTTGAGTGCTTAGCCAGCTGCAAGTTCCCTATAATGATGCAGCCTGAGGTGGTTGCTGCAAATGGCAACTCTTAGGCCCGGTTCACACCTGGGCGTTTTGTAGCGCGTTCCTACGCTCTGCAAAATGCTCAAACACCAAAATCCCATTATTCCCTATGGGTATGGTTCACACCTGGGCGTATTACAGGCCGTATGAAATGGCTCTTGCTGCTTTACTCACCTCCTCTATCTCAATGTACCCCACATAAAGTCCTCTCTGAGGTCCAGTACTTGTTGTCTTCTTGGATGCATGATGGCCAACTTCCTGTGAGCCCAGGCTGTCATGGACCCTCCCTCTGGGAGCTTGACATTGAACCAATCCCAGGGAGCATGTCACCAACTTGTCTCCCGGGGGCATGTCATCACACCGGCCTGGGCTGCCAGGAGAGGGCTGCAAAGAGCATTGTCATGGCATTACTTGGAGAATGTTGTTGTTTTCTAAGCAGAGATGCATTTTTTTTTATGCTACTGCAAGTTCTAATAATCATCAATATTTTTATGTCTTTTAGGATACGGAATTTACGTTTACACAAATTCATTTTTCCGCTATGAAGGGGAATGGAAAGATGGTAAAAAACATGGTAAGCTTTCTTTCTCTTTGCTAATATTTCAGTAAACATTTCTTCTTGTCATTTTTATGCAAACCAAATGTGTGTTTCAATTCTCATGAAAATGATGCATTTTGTTGGGAATGCTTTACCATCTTGCTGGAAATGCATGCTACAGTAAGGGCTAGTTCACACCAGCCTCATTGCGTTTCGGCCCCATTCTGACCTGGAACGTACTGGATCGCATTCCGTCCGGCTCACTTTGTTTTGGGGCGAGAGGGGGTGTGGCGGTGCATTGAACTCAATGGCAACGCAGCCATGCCCTCTGGCCGCAATGTGATCGACCGCACGGGAACACGTGGCACATTAGTGCCTGCGTTCCGGCACGGTGCAGTCAGAAACAAAGTGAGCTGGCCAGAATTTGATCCAGTGCGTTCCGGCCAGAATCGGGCCGAAACGCACTGAGGCTGGTGTGAACTAGCCCTCAAACTTCAACCACCATTTTTCTGTAGGTTTGGATAGAGTGTGGAAGGGTCAGAACCTCTATTGGGTATTTATTAATTCAACAGGAAGTGAGAAAAAATGTCAGGAGAAATGTCACCTTTTCAATTTCCCATCACTTTATATCCCGGTGACAAGGGTAACCCAGCATGGACACAAGAAATATATCCCGGTGACAAGGGTAACCCAGCATGGACACAAGAAATATATCCCGGTGACAAGGGTAACCCAGCATGGACACAAGAAATATATCCCGGTGACAAGGGTAACCCAGCATGGACACAAGAAATAAACGCTGATGGGTTCTACCTCTTCCCCACTCTATTTAAAACTACTAAAAACCACGTTGGTCAACACTGCTCTTTAACACACTAAGCTTAATATCCCATCAAATAAAAAATGGTAAGAAAACAAATTGTCTTTCTATGATTTATTCCAAACACAACGGTTACGGCAACACTCATTCATAATGTGCATAATTGCCTACCACCACCCATTGGACTGTAGTTCTGATTTAACGTTGGCCTCCTATGTATGTTTTTAATATGTTTTTAGCTAATATGTTTTTAGCTGTTTTTAGGTGGTTGGACATTAAGCTACAGCTTACCTAGTGTTCTTATACACACAAATGCTCAGCCAAACATTCTTTATTGCCATGAAGGGAGAAGGGGGAGCAGGAGAACAATGCATCCAGACTGCCAGTGAGACTTTAGTTGTAAGAGAGCAATAAGGCGCCATTCACACATATGTGGTTTCCACGCGTATTCGGCCAGACCGAGCCGTGCTAAACATAAGTACGAAACCGTGCGTCTTTTAGAATATATTTTTCTTTTTTTGATTGCCTTTCATATACAAAATCAACTTCCAAGTTATACAAAAAAATGACAATAGCACATACGTCCAACAACTATTACTGTGGTTATTGGTAATTTCAGATGACACAAGTAAAAAACTAATTTTTAAAAGCGATTACCTCATGGACTATCCCATTGTCATTACAGAGTACACACTTATAGAACTCTTATAACACAAAGCATAGGTATTAACTACCTCTAAACCCCCAAAAGCTACCTCATTCTAATACCTTTGTTCCTAGTCCAATAATGATTTTATGGGTGGATTCTGCACGTTCCGGCTATAGTAATAGCTGCAAACGTGCAAAATCTGCGCATATGTTAGCACTTGCACGGTTTCGCTCCGCGTGGAAAGAGTAGGATGACTTCCCCAGTGTCTGCTTATCTTTGTTTTAAAGTAAAAGCAATTGGCTGGGAAATCAAACCTGGTAATATGTGTTTTCCTTAAAATCAATTACTCAGCTAAGAAATCATAGTCATGTGATCCCTTTGATAGTGATATGATCGTTCCCACACTCAGCCATTCCCAGGCGGATGATCTTATTTCTTTGGGCACCTGAAGGTTGAGTTTTTAATGTTTGCCATTCCTGTCTTCATAGCACTGCTTGATTACATAAGCTCATTAGGTAATAATACATTTATTAACAGGCTTTTTGGGAATATATCCTCTGTTCTAACTGTACAGCTGTCCACCTCATAAAAATGCTGTACATCACAACACGAGTGTAAAAACATATGGCGAATTGAATAATCAATACATTTTAACATATAAACAAGAAAAAGTCATTAGAGGCAGTAATGACTACCACTTATCCCTTTTTATTGCAGGTCACGGGAAGCTTTTATTTAGAGATGGAAGTTACTATGAAGGGGAGTTCATACACGGAGAAATTACTGGAAATGGACTGCGTTACTGGGCAACATCAGGTTAATTCCTGTCGCTTTGACTTATGCAAGAGCAGTTCCAGACAGCAAGTGAAACCATTTAGTGAGCTACTAATGTTATGCAGAAAACACTGCAGCTATAATAAAATCTGAAAGTTCACGCAATTTCATTTAATCTGATTTCTATGTAATCCATTGCAACCAGGCTTCAGAGATCACCTCACAAGGTCACTGAGGACCCATTTAAACCAAGGCGATCCATCACAGTGTGTTTATGACACGTGTGTTGCATTAAGGATGTCCATTCATTTGATTCAGCTGCCAAATGCAGTACAGTGGATCAAGAATTGTACCTGCTGCATTTTTGGTAACGGAGAACACTGCGACCCATGGTAGAACCATATTGTACATTGTGGTGCACAGCAATGGAGGTGCATTAGTGTGCTATTTAAAGAGGAACTCCAGGATGTATTCAAATTAATCCTTGCAGTGGGGCTAGCCCTGTACTGCAAGGGTTAAGTGCTTAGTTTTGACCCGCGGTCCCACCTGCCTGCTTGACCAGTCCCCACAGCCTCTTCTCCCCCAGGTTCCAGCAGTCTAAGGACCCATGATATCATCACGTCTAATACAGGTTTATTAGACAACAGGATGCCGAGGGACAGACCACAGCCGGAGCAGAGGGGAGAGAGGTGAGCGGTCACTGCTGCAGGACTGAAGAATCAGATGACTATATCCTCTTAACAGTGCTCAGCTGCTGGAACGCACTGTATCACATCCCGGCTGGCTTGCAGCATTTTTTCAGACCACACTGGACCAGAACGCATTAACTGATGTGCGTTCTGTTGCGGGCGATCGCACTGCAGGTGGGGGGTGTGGCTGAGGTGCCATTCACTTTAATGCACCGCCACGCCCCGCGAACGCAGGAAGCCAGCCAGGATGCGATACAGTGCGTTCCAGCAGCTGACCAATCTGGAACGCACTGTTTATGGTGTGAACAAGCCCTAAGGCCTGGTTCACACCTGGGCGTTTTTACAGTGCGTTCCTACGCTCTGTAAAACGCTCAACATGTGAAAACCAATGATTGCCTATGGGCATGGTTCCCACCTGGGCGTTTTACATCACTCAGAAACGCGCTGCAAAACGCCCTACCCCCAAAGAAGTACAGGAGCTTCTTTGGGGCGTATTTGCCGCGCGTATCCATTTGGATACAGCCAGGTAGCCCTCGGAAACACGCGTTTGTCGCGCAGTTTTTTTTACCGCGAATCACGGTTAAAACGCGTGGCGCGACAGACGCGCATATTCGATACGCCTACGTGTGAACCCAGCCTAAGGGCCTATTCACATGAGTTTCAGGTCCTGATCAGGCCTGGATCAGATGCGGATCTGCAGACGCGGTGCTATGTGTTTTTGCTGTGTCCCATGGCCTCATTCACACAGCGTACGGTCGGGCCGTGTGATTGTACGCAGCACCCTGTTCTTCTCTATGGAAGTATGTGGCCGTACGCTCACCCGAGCTGCACATCCATGCGGGTGCGGGTGTCCGTACTCGGACGCAGACAGGATGGATCCTGTCTGCGTCCGAGCACAGACACCGCACGGATGTGCAGTCCGGGGGAGCGTATGGCAGCGTACGACCGCGTACTCCCATAGAGAGGAACAGGCTGCTGCGTACAATCACACGCAGCACCTGTCCCTCCTGGAAACGGCCCGTTATAGCTGGATCTGTACGGCCCCACTCTACCCTGTGTGAATGAGGACTTAGGCAAACAAACCTACATTTGACTATGCTTGATGGAGTATTCAAGCTATAATCGAACGAGGGTTTGTGGCAGAAACTAAAATTTCCGACCGCAAATCTACTAGTGTATGATCACCTTTACTAGTTTTTTTTAATTTTCTTAGAATAGAAGACATTAAGGTAACTATAGCAGGGAAATATATTCTTTACACACATATCCACTAAGTAAGAATGATGCACTTTCTCCACAGCTGAATTAATTATCATTTTCTATTTTTTTTTCTTCTTCTACTTGACAACACATGAATCTAGCTCACAGGCTTTTATCTGCTGAGGGTTGCATAATATTCAGTAATAATTTGATGGTGAGGTTTCTTGGAAAGAAAAATCTAATTGTTCTGAGCTGTTAACAGAATCCTGATGATTTAGCAACTTCTTACGATTCAGAACGGTGATATGAAAATCCATATCCTAAAACAAACACTAGATGAAGCCATTGCACCATCATTTTTTCATTACAATAGGTGATTGATGTGTAATAGATGGAGTTTCTTAGCTTTAGGCAAACAGAAAAATACACCGATAAAGCCCCTTTCCCCTACCGTTCCCATCAGATCTGCCTGTCCGTTTTTAAGGTAGACCTGATTGAAAGCGCAGTGTTGGTCTATATCATCCTTTTACCACTAAGTCTATCTAGGTGCAAAAACAAAAATGGAAAATAATTCCTTTTTTTTCAAACCTGATAGGGTTGGATGTAATAGGATGTAATGCCCCATCTGCCTGCCCATAGTCCTAACATGGATCTGTTAAGCTCTGCTTTTTCACAAGATGGAGGAAAGAACTGAACAGACATGTCACAAAAATGACATCAATTCCATTCTGCTCGAATTAACAGGGAAAGGGGCCTAACCTAGACAAATGGGAGCTGTTTAAAGTACCCAAGGATTTGTATTTCTGTCCATCCATTCCTGAGACTTACACAGCACTCCCAGGCACTACAGCCCCTGTTTTGTAGACCTGGAAATCTTGGTTTTCTATGCTGCAGTTCGGTGAAGCTGGCCCTGTCAACACCCACCCATGCAACAAAAGTTGATTTTCAAGGAGCTGGTGTGAAAAGTATCGGACGAACAGCGTCTGCATAGAACCAGATGCACACGCTGTTTGGGTACAAAAATTCGCAGCAGGGATTCTTCCATCCATGCTGTTCAGGGTGGATAGGGGAATCAATGGACTTTATATTTAAAAGCGTGAAAGTCGAAGTGTATAGGGTCAGCTTTACAGTAACAGGTCTCCTTCCCGTCCACAGCCTGTGACTGGACAATGAATGGAGAAGCAACACTCATGCCTTAATCCCTTAAGGTCTGCCTTAGGCTTCTCCCATGAACCAATGACATATTGTGATGGATTATCATGATATATAGAAGCCTTCCCTGAATCCTTTAGATATGTAATCTTGAAAAGAGGTTCTGTCATCTCCCCACACACATCCCACATCCCCAAACACTGGTTTGCATAAGCTCCCCTTTTGCATTCTGTAAATCTACAAGTATTTCCATTAATGCACTATGGCAGCAGAGCCACTAGGCAGCACACATCATATAACAGCCAAAAAAAAGTGTAATCTAAGAACACATGGCCTTGGAGACATATATTTTCAGATACCACATATCAATGAGACATGCATTTTATTCTGTAACTGTATTATGAAAGTACTGATGTGAAGTAATGATAGCATGCGGTGTGCTTGGATTTTGTAAAAGTACACAGCGTCCATCCAATGGGCAAGCTATGTTCTATTCGCCTACAAAATAGAGTATGCAACTGAATAGGTAAATCTCTAAAGAACGCTTATCTGAAAAATAGTGACCAATGGTTTATGCTTCCCATTAGAGCTGCAGCTAACGATTATTTTCAAAATGGATTAGTTCGCCGATTATTAGGTTGGATTAATCAGTTAATCGGATAAACAATAAAATAAAGTTTAAAAAATGGCTCCAGTGATGGGACTACTAGTTTGTATTGAGGTTGTAGTCCATCACAGGAGCAAGCTTGGAGCGGTGGAAGTAAAAAAGAAAAAAGATAGTGTGGTGTGCAATATAGTGAAATGGAAAGTGTAAAATTATACAGCAATGCATGCAGAATGGCACCGGCTATAGAGGACTGCAAAAGCACATTATACAGCGCAATGCAGAATACCGCCATCTATAGAGGAATACAACACATCCTAGCAATAGTACATAATAGCTGGCGGTATTCTGCATTGCGCTGTATAATGTACTATTGCTAGGTTTTGTAGTCCTGTATAGCCGGTGGTATTTAGCATTGTACCACTTTATAACGTACTATTGCTGGGATTTGTTGTAGTCCTCTATAGCTGGTGGTATTCTGCATTGCGCTGTATAATGTATTATTGCTGGGATTTGTAGTCCTCTATACAGCGCAATGCAGAATATCACCAGCTATAGAGGAGTACAACAAATCCCAGCAATACAATATACATACAGTGTATAATGTATTGCTGGTATTTGTATTCCCATGTATAATATACAGCACAATGTCCCATCAGCTATAGAGAAATACAAATCCCAGCAATACATTATAGAGCACCATGTGTGGGAAAGTGCAGGCTTACCTGAGCAGTCTTCCAGCAACTTGCTTCTGAGATTGGACCTGTCTATCAGCGGCTGTCATCCCCCCACACCTGCTCCTCCTTACTACATCTCCCCGCGTCCCTTGCCGATCGTGGATGTGGATGGGCAGGAAATGTGAGGCGGGGAGGAGGTGCGGCGTGTGGAGCGTGAATGCGAGCGGGTCTGGCAGCGGCGAGCGTGAGGTGGGGAGGAGGTGCGGCGCACAGCGTGTGGAGCTGTGAACAGGGCCAACTGATCGGAAGCCGATTAATCGATTATTGAAAAAGTTGACAACTTTTTCAATAATCGATTATAATCGATTATGTCGATTAGTTGTTGCAGCCCTACTTCCCATTGTTTAGTAATAGGATTTTTGTATCTTAGGATTGGTGCAGTTTTAGTTATATGTTATAAATCACAACATTTGGAATTTAGTTTACTGTAGATTACACCACGAACTTGGACAAGTACGGTATCCTTAACAAAGTAGAGCATACTAGTTCAATAAATTGTCTTCAGAAAGTAGAGAATAAAGAAGAGCAGCTATATTCATACATGCTAAAGATCAGCTTCTGAAAGAATATTGTAATGTGTATTGCAGCATTTAAAGGTATTATTATATTATTTACATGAATGGTAATACAAGAAAGTTCTTATCAATATCCTTCTCTGCCATTCTGGGAACACTCAAGTTCCCTAGGATAAATACAGCTCCTAATATATACTGTACATGTAGTTTAGGGAACCATGCCAGACTGTTACAATGACATAAACATTAATACATTTGAAGCAAGTCTCTGGGCATTGGAAAGTTGTTAATTTGACACTTACCTTAAAGGAGAACTATGGGGGTCAGGGCTTTTCCCCATAGTTCTCCTTAGGGTAACGGGAGGACACAAACTAGCGTCCTCCCGTTACCCTAAGCTCAGTATACCGCAAGCTACAGCTAGCGGTATACTGAGACGCTGGAGCGGATCCCAACATCGATGTCGAGATCCGCCCAGCTGCGTGAGTGACAGCTGGCTCTGCCTATTTAGAGGCAGAGCCTCCTGTACCCGCCCCCTCCCCGTCCGTTTCAGCCAGTCAGCGCTGGCAGATCGGATCGGGGAGGGGGGAATCCAGCCCCTCCCCTGTCACGGCTCTCGAGAGGTGAGCGAACGCCGCCATGTGTTCGCTCACCTCCCGATCTACTGAGCCGACCTGTGACAGTCTCATTGTCACAGGTCGGCTAGAACTATGAGGTGAGTGGAAATCACTCATCTCATAGTTCTCCTTTTATATAGCTGGTACTTCCAGGTTCTTGCATGCAGTTTCTGATATCGAATAATGTCTTGAGAGTCCTAAAACTTGGAAAACTCTGGCATGCTATTAGTAAATATCTTCCTGGCTGCCAGCTTTGGTCTACTGCTTTCTACCCCAACTATTAGTGCCACAATGTCATGTCTCACTAATCTATGGTGAAGCATATAAGAGATGACTTTGTTGTCTTGTTGTCTGCAATAGAATGTCTGCAATAGAATGCCACAACTCTCCTCGTATTTGCTATTAATACTTTATAGATATAGTTGTTACAACATTTTAACTTGTCATATTAGAAACAAAAACATACTTCCGGTACAGTAAGGCCCATATCACACGGCAGTTTTTCAGACAGACCCGATCGGATGCCCAGTGTATGTTTATGGGTAGCTGTGTGTAAACGGATGGGTGTCCGTTTACACCCGGTTACCCCAGACTCCGGACCAGGTCCGGAAAAACAAACGGACCAGAGATCCATTTCACCTAACCTTATCATGCTGGATCGGGGGAATAATCTGATGTAAACCGTGTCTGTTTACATCCGATTCCCCATAGATTGACATGGGGTCCAATAATTGCATTTTTGGTTCCTCCATTGCAAGATGGAGGAAAAAAACTGTACGGACACAGATGTCCGTACAGACATCTACTCCGTACTGCTGTGATGAGCCCGCGTGAAAGGGGCCTAAATAATTGAAACCCCTGTCATTGTTTTTTTGCCATTTCTTTCCTAGTCCCTAAAGTGAGGTAAATGGTAGACAGCTGTCAAATGGAAAATGTTGCCTCTATTCCTGTTCTGGTAACAATGCAAAATGTTTTTTCCCACTTTGTCACTAGGACGAATAGAGGGGCAAGTCAATCAAGTGAGGACACAGCAATAAAAAGGTTGACAGGGATTCTGATCTCTCACCACTCTTTCCAAACCTTAAGACCTCAGATCCGCCCCAATTCATGAACCTTCAAACCTCAGATTAACCCCAATTTATGCACCTTCAGAATTCAGATGAGCCCCAATGCATGCACCTTCACACCTCAGATCATCCCAAATGCATGCACCTTCACACCTCAGATCATTCCAAATACATGCACCTTCACACCTCAGATCAGCCCCAATGCATGCACCTTCACACCTCAGATCAGCCCCAATGCATGCACCTTCACACCTCAGATCAGCCCAAATACATGCACCTTCACACCTCAGATCAGCCCCAATCAGGGCAGCCATCAGAAATTTCGGGGCCCCTTACATGGCTTTAGACCGGGCCGCCCCCCCTTCCCCTGTACCGCCGCCACACTGAGCCAATCACACTGTTTTTATTGTACATTTATGTGGATAACCTCCTCATGTATCACTTTCACCTCCCTTTTAGGTTGTAGGCCCTCCTTACCATCTTGTCTTGAATTGTATTGTGATTGTAATGTCTTCCTTATATTGTAAAGCGCTGCTCAAACTGTTGCCGCTATATAAATCCTGTATAATAATAATACATTTATATAGCTCTGACATATTCCACAGTGCTGTACAGAGAACACTGAGCCAGTTACACCAGTCTCTGTACAGAGGAGCTTACACTCTAATGTCCCCCCACAGTCACACACTATTATTATACATGTATATAGCTCTGGAATATATCGCAGTGCTGTACAAAGAACACTGAGCAAGTCACAACAGTCAAGCTTGGAGCGGTGAAAGTAAAAAAAAAATGTGGTGTGCAATGAAGTGAAATGGAAAGGGTAAAATTATACAGCAATCAATGCAGAATACCACCAACTATAGAGCACTACAAATCCCAGCAATTGTACATTATACAGCACAATGCAGAATACCACCAGCTATAGAGGAATACTTACATGAGTATCGGCCGTACCCCCCCTGATGGCAGCCCTGGCCCCAATGCATGCACCTTCACACCTCAGATCATCCCAAATGCATGCACCTTCACACCTCAGATCATTCCAAATACATGCACCTTCACACCTCAGATCAGCCCCAATGCATGCACCTTCACACTTCAGATTAGTACCAATAAATGCATCTTCACACCTCCCATCAGTCTCAATTCATGCACCTTCACACCTTCGGCTTTAATTCATGCACCTTCAGACCTCAGATCAGCCCTAAACCCTTCACTTTCAAGCCTCAGGTCAGCCCTAAACTCTGTTTCTTCAGAGATGAAGGAAGTTCACACACCTGCTTTAGGGTTCAACAAGAGGAGGATGAGTTTAGGCTTGTGGGCAGGCTTCTTCCACACATCGATTTCTTGAGCTAGGGGCTTTGTGCTTGACAGAAACCATCCTGTTGTTGTTTGATAAAACAATCTGGTTTTCCTACAGGAAACAAATATTCTGGTGAATTTGAAGAGGGAGAACTTCATGGACATGGTGTCATGCATTACAAAGATGGTGGGCGATATGAAGGAGAGTTTGTTTTTGGAATAAGAGAAGGTGAGTAATAAATGTACTATGTGCTCCCAATACTACTATTAGAACTGTCACAATTCATTTTATTTACAAGTTAATTTTTTCTTCTGCTGAAAGTAATGACTTTGAGTCATACTTGATCTGGCCATAATGTGCCACAAATAGACCATATTTGGATATATCCTCTCCCGTTAAAATATCAAAACCATCTTATAAAAATAGGGTCAGCTAAGGAATATGTAATCTTTTGACGGAGCTACTTCAAACCAAGAGGCAAGGTGTGTAACTCTGATGGAACTATAAAACTGACTCATGGGTTGGCCTACTATTTTATAGAAAAAATGAGAGGGAGTTGGGGCTTTTTTATCCCATGAAAACACATAAAAGTAGCAGAATTGCATGGATAAGGGATTAGCATTGATTTGGTAAGCAGAGAAGATATGCCATAGGCAAAATATGTTTTTAAACCCTTCCAGCTTTAAAAATTGATGCTTCATAGTGAGAACATTAGGGCCACATCTCCCACATTGCACAACCAACTAATCCATACCTGGTCAGCTGCCTGGCTCAGAGGTTTCTACATGCTTTTAATACCCTGAGGTTTGATGCGGGCAACCCAATCTGTACACTGATCAGCGATCATCTGTCTGTGTACACTCTGAGTGCAGGGTGCAGTGCAGAGCACATGAGCTGATATGTCTGGGAAATATCCCAGATATATCCACAACTTTTTTTTTTTTAAAGTTCTACCTAATGGTAAAGAATGTATCTCCACTTTCTTTGACCAGTTGCTTTATTTTCGGTGTAGGGCATGGTTTGTTGGTGGACAAAGATGGACAGACATACTCAGGAGCTTTTCACAAGAACAAAAAGAATGGAGAAGCACAGATGAGTTACCAGTGAGTATTTTTTTCTTTTAACCATAATAGCCCTTGTTACAAAGACAGATTTAAAGGAGAACTATGAGTGCTTTTCACTCATCCTCATAGTTCTAGCCGACCTGTGACAATGAGACTGTCACAGGTCGGCTCAGTAGATCGGGAAGTGAGCGAACACATACCAGCGTTCGCTCACCTCTCGATCCTGTCACGGCTCTCTGCCGTGACAGGGGAGGAGCTGGATTCCCCCCTCCCCGCTCCAATCCTTCAGCGCTGACTGGGGGAACGGACGGGGGGGGGGGCGGGTACAGCTGGCTCTGCCTCTAGATAGGCAGAGCCAGCTGTCACTCACGCAGCTGGGCGAATCCAGACATAATTGTCGGGATCCGCTTCAGCTGCGGCGTCTCAGTATACCGCAAGCAGCAGCTCGCAGTATACTGAGCCTAGGGTGACGGGAGGACTCTAGTTTGTGTCCTCCCATTACCCTATGGAGAACTATGGGGAAAAACCCTAACCCCATAGTTCTCCTTTAATCTCTGTGTTTTATAAATCAAAGATGATGCCTGAATTCGATACTGAAGCCTAATTTCTCACAGATACTCACATTCTGTTTTAGTTTTTAAAAGGCCATCTCCAGGCAAAGCTCTCCCCCTTCCTGCTACTGCTCTTATTGCCAAAAAAAGAAAAAAAAATTGTTTTACTTCTCTTGCTTTGCTATCCTTGTACTTCGCCCAAGAAAACTGCTCGCCTCTTTGCAATGTCACCTTGCTGTTGTGGTCTTCTGGATCCTAAGAGGATCCTGCTTCTGGACAGACAGAAGGACCCTCCTCTTTTGCAGGAAAAAAGATAGGAGACTTGTGACCTGGCACTTCTCACAGATTTAGGTGAGTAGTTTGGCCTTTTAGAATATCTTTCTTTGTGGGGAAGGGGTAGGGGTGTCTGGCATCAATCCACTACAATTTTCACCAGTATATTGAGCCCTGATGTAGGGATCTCTTAGAATACATTGGCTTGTTTCTTTCAGATATATTGTGATGAAATTAAAATATTCAGGTTGTCAACCATTGCTGTAGCAAACCTTCTCTATTAAATATCTTGGCCTTTTATTGTGGTCTGTGTCCCCTTTGCAGTTACTCAAGTGAAGAAATAAAGTCACCAGCACTCCAAATGGTTATTTAGCAATAGTCCATTTATTGACACATTGCCATTCTATGCAAGCGCTTTCGGGGCAATAAATGGACTATTGCTAAATTACCATTTAGCATATAGCAATTACCATTTATTGCTAAATTACCATGCCACCCATGGTCACTACAAGCACCCACCCATCTTCACGGGTCCCTAGATGTTCCGGTAAGGAGCGCAGCAAGATCTCTGATTCCTCCCTTTGCAGTTACTTCCCTTCATTTTCTGTACTGACAAAAAGTGATGGTGAATCTCTACAGTAGGTACACAGGTTACAGGAAAAGGACCATGACTCCTTGCCCCTGTGAAAACCACTCCTCTTATTTCTTGTCTTGCTGTCACAGGGATAGAAAATAGGGTAAAATCTCCACAATGGAGTCACAGACACCAATACAACTTGAAATATCTATTCTTCCCAAGTCTATCCAAAACCCAATAAAAACGTTTTGGCAGCAGTTGGGCTTTAAGTCTTGAACCCTGTTAAGTACTATCCACACACTGTATGTAGCACCAGTGGTACCTGTCTCATGCCTTGAGAAACACTGCCTTGTGGTACTTCACTGAAAACCACATATATGAAGCAATACGTCACTGCATTCCTCAAAGTTTACATTTCAATGGTCAAATTTTTCTTCAGTTCCAAGGAACATTAGTTCCTTTTTCCTGTGCAAAGCAGAAAACCTCATACTTGGAGAGCTGACGGGGTATAATGTGATACTTGCTTCACGGACGATCTGCACCTGTGTCCAGAAAGTGAGACTTTTCGTCTGTAAACACTCAGCTTGTGCTGTATGTCATCTAACGCTACATGTGTCTGCCAGCGGGATATCGTCACACTGTGCGCGCACGGCCTGTAATCTGAAGAAACACATGTTTTGACGTCATGCATTCCAAAGTGTTTCTAAAGCTCCCAGTGTAATGCTAGCTGGCTCCCTGGCACAAACCTCTGTACACATATTTACTTTGCTTGGCTACTTCTTGGGCAACAGGTGCAATCAGTTCTAGTAAAGGCAAGTGGCACCCATGTGACACTGTTATCTTGGAAAAGGGATATCCCACAGAAAACAGTTCTGGGTGTCTCAAAAGCATGGGCTAGGATTTTGCATGACTTTACTGGGCTCCCCTCCAAAGCAATCACAAAGGACTCCATAAGACTCGTACATACTTGCGGAATTTGGCATAAGAGAAAATATGAAGGGTGTGTTTTCTTTTGTAATCGTCGCAAAATTTTAATGTTGAGATTCTTTTTTCCACTCATGTTTTTGTCTCTGAAGATTTTGTGTTTGGTATAATGTAAATAGAGGCAGCAAGGGTGTGCCTTGCCATTTTGGTGCCTAGGGCTTAAACATGTACTCCTTGCAAACGGCTAAATACACAGATGAAATATGTGTGTGGCAGCTGTGTTACCTGCCAAAGGGTTTGCATTTCTGTCCATCCAGTCCTCAGATTTGCATAGGCCAATCATTCTGGTGACCTAACCTTTCTTTGCTGCAGTTAAGTAATACATCCTGGTCATCTTCCTGTACCCAGCCTGTAAGTAGACAGTGAAGGAGCAGCAGGATGCTCATGGTGCAGCAGGAGCATCAGAATGACCATCTCTCTGCTTTCTCTTGATTGCAGCATTTTCCTTGTCCACTTACCAAGGCATGGCGTCTTACTCCACTTGCTATAGAAGAAAATACCTTAATACATCTGCTGCTGTGAAATAAAAACAATTAAAATGAGAATGTGATAGATGTAGTCATCTCACAAATGCAGATATATTACCACAGAAACCCCCACTGGTATCTACCCAAAACTAAAATATCAATCTTGAATGGACTGCCATTTAAATAAAAAAAAGACACAGAGAATGTGTTTCATATGTATATTTCCAAAGGCTTCTTGGAACAAGCAGAGAAAATCAGCATCATTTAATGCATGCATCTATTGTCACCTACTTTCGCAATTGCAAAGTATACACAATAGGAATATTATTTACTGTGTGCCTTTCCCATACTCGTTTAGATGTTGTTCTACTATATGTATTTTGAGAGTTACATTTCACTTCTAACTGAAATGGACATTATATTGTGAGGTGTTGCCCGCAACCCTTCATTGCTTTTAACCACAAAGCATTAAAGTAAGCCGAAGGGGATACCAATAAAGTTTGGAATGTGGAAACCAAGTTGTAAATCACATAAACTTTCTCTCATGTGTGTTCTGTTAGGGGAATGCATAGAACATATGGGTTGAGGCGGTCTTTGGTGAGGTGTTTTATTATTAACATATTGTGCTATGTAGTATTTTAAAGCAGAAACTGCACAAAGTTATGTAACAAGCACAAGGGCAAGCTTGAGAAAATACAGTTCAAGATTTTATTTTGTACAGAATTGATTTAGTATTGCATCTAAGAAACTCAAAATGTATACATGAATTTTAAGATATTTATATGCAAATGGGGTTTATGACTTGTGGCTGTCTCATTGGTCTATCAGATTGATGCCTTGTTCATCAGCCTGTGTGATATAATGATAATCGCCTCTATTCATCTGTAAAGTTTTGGCACCGATAAGGTAAGCACAAAGGTTTGGGTGTTGATCTGGTGTTGGGGAGTAGGTACAAAGTTAGGTCAAGGTTTTAGGGATTTGTTTTTAAGCAGAACTCTTGGAATATATTTTTTTGCAAACTTACATTGGTCCAGTTTGGCTCAATGTGAGTATCCATATCTGATATCCAGAGGGCCGCTGGGGATACCAAGAATCGGTGTAGTAGTCCGCACTACATGCAGTGATGGCCATGATCTTCCAGCTTCTGCTCCAGTAACTTCCCCTCTGCACAGGGAGTCGCTCGCTCGCTCATTCAGAGAACCCCTTGAATTTTTTTCAATGAATACAATACATGATTGGATGCGATGGAGATTGTGATGTCATCCACACCTCCTCTCCACCTCCTCCAATCTGAAAATGCCTTGTATACATTAACAACAAAAATAAACAAAGCTAACACTATAAATAGCTATTTCTTCATCTGTTTAGCAATTTATTTCCAGCAATTTTAGTAGTATGGTTGATCTACTAAAGTTCACTCATATAGCTCTGGTCTCAAAAGTATATTAGACAAAATACAAAAACCCCCCACAGATTTCATCCTTTCATTTTGTGACCTGCACTTAAATATTTGAGTGCATGTAAAGGGAGGCATATATACTATATATGGAGCAGTTTGCCCCCTTCCCCTGGTTTCAGTGTCTCTGTAATAATGACTCTTTCTTTATGAAAATCATTGTAACGTGAAAAAGAAATGGTATGCTCTTTAGTATTTTAGCTCAGTCTATTTTGGCACTAAGTACTGAAGCCAGGCACGTGCAAGCTGATAAGCAAGAAATATGTGTTATTGCAGGAACGGCGATCATTATGAGGGAAACTGGGTGCTGGACCAACGTCAAGGACATGGAGTGCTGAACTGTTTAGATGGAACCATTTATGAGGTACAGTCATGCTACATTATATCTTGTTCTGTGCGATTCCACCCTTCTCAAATGTCCTTGAAGCTCATATTAGTAGCCACTCTCCTTAAATTCTTACTTTGGCTCCTTTGTAATATTAAAAAAATTATCTTCTGGAAAATTATACAATGTGATTCATTATTAAAAGATTTGCAAAGATGGAAGCTATGCATATGTATTCTAATTTCGTTTCCCCCCCCCCTTGTTTAATGTCCAGCATATATTTTATAGTGTTAAAGAGGATTGCCACTGAATGGGTCAATAAGTAAAGGGCTGGGTTGATTGAGTTGAGCCTACATGCTCATTATCCATCAACCTTCATTTTTAAAATTCGGCTCTTTATAATTTTATGTTTGTCCTTTTCCAGCTTGGTCTGTTTTAGTAGTTTCCTATAGCAAATATTTTCAGGTGACAATCTTATCTCCATGTTATCTGGTGGATGCCTGCAATTCGAAACTGTCCAGCTGGATTAGTTGTTCTAATCTATACAGTACCACCTGACTTCTTTTATATATCTGTCGACACCACTCATCTTCCAACCTTCTGCTACATATGAAAAGATTCATGGCAGTAGATTCATGGCAGTACTGGCTGTCAAACTTGTGCCCACACAGCCATCCAAATAAATTGTGCCCACACAGCCAATCACATTTCTTGTGTTGTCTTTAGACAATTTTAGAAGTCTTTTTGTGGATTCCTTGATACATGGATGAATGAGTGATAGAATGGTAGATGGAATGGTGGAGTTAGTGTGAATCATCTTACTTCATTTAAGCGTGCTAGTGTTAAAAGAAAACTATGGTATAACCTTTTTATTCCATAGTTCTGTTTAGGGTCACGGAGGACATATACTAACGTCCTCCCGTAACCCAAAGCTCAGTATACAGCAAGCTATTTCCCGCTATATACTGAGAGCGCCGCATCCGGGATGGATCCCGACAATACTGTCGAGATTCACCCAGCTGGCTGATTGACAGCGGGCTCTGCCTATCTAGAGGCAGAGCCAGCTGTGAAACGCCCATCCCCCGTCCGTCCGTCGTCCGTCCGTTCCTCCAGTCAGCGCTGGAGCATCGGAGAGGGGAGGGGGAAATCCCTGTAGGGAGCGGTCAGTCACCGCTCTCTGCAGGGAGGTGATCGGGAAGTGAGCGAGCGAAGGTTTGTGTTTGCTTACTTCCCAATCCATAGAGCACTTTAGTAGCCATCAGAGTCATTTTATTGGACACCAGAACTAACATAGGGTAGGACATTGGCCACCTTAGGGTGAAAATTAAAGAACTTTTTTTTTTGAACAAAATTATATCTGCAGTTTCTAATGACAAAGCCCTTCAGATATCTAATTGACATCTATTAACCATTTTGTTCTCAGTTTATAAAGCTGGAGTGACTGCTAATATGCAAATTAACCAGAATAATATCGTATCTATTGCCCATCCTAATTTTCCATCCTGTGGGAGGTTATTTGCACTTGGTCCTGCTCCATCATTGACTGTTATCATATGCTGAATAGAAGGATCTGCTACTGATTTGTGAATTCAACATTTGTATGACTGTCAGAGGCATTTAGCCTTATAAACCATCAATGTTATTCCCACAAACAGGGGTATGTTGTATTTCTAAGATTAAAGTGGGGTTATGATATGTGGTTAGTTTAGATGCAAATAGAACACTAACAGAAGCAGACAGCAGTAAAATTATGGGAGTGAATCCATGAATAAGGCCGTCAGTAGCAGCAGATATGGTTAAACCAATGTTGCAGTCATGCAATTGGTGGACAGAGGTGTTAACCTTCAGAAAGTTCAGGTGACTGCATAGGCAAAACATTTTTAGGTTTGGATAGAGTAGGGAAGGATTAAACCCCTGCCAGGGTATCTGTTTGCTGTCTGTGTACCATTGAGGAAATATCCGTTCGCTTCCTGTCCCAGAAACAAAACAGGAAGTTAAAAGAAATCTCCCAAAGTGACGAGGATTCAGACAGTGTCCCTGGAACAGGAATCACTATTGGAAGATGTCCTTGGGGACAACTGAAAAATCCTGGACTTCTACTTATTTTCTATCTCAGTGACAATGGTCACCAGTACAGAGGGGTGAATCTTCCCAATGGGGGAACAGACAGCAACAAAAACCTAACAAAGGATCAAACCCTTCCCACTCTATCCAAAACTAAAATATACACTTTAATGGTATCAGGTTGGCTCATTCCATGTGGCAGTTGATGACCACATGTCCATTCCAAAGTTTATGTCTGGTTGAAAAATTACACAATTGTTCCATTCCCTGCTTCTGCAACCATTGCAGTTTGGGAGTTGATAACATGTGCCTGTGGACATTTGGGAACTTTAGTCCAGACAAGAGTAGTATGTGCTACATTCTTTGAAACCCCACAGAATTTTATAATGTAAACAGTTTAATGGCCTTTTTATATATAATCCATTGTAATTTGAGTTTACTAATCTGGTAAGTGATTCCACAGCAACGACATAACATAGTAAATGCACACCATTATTTTACACTTAAGATCACTTCAGACTCCTAACTTATTTTGTAGCTCACCAGATCCATTAGGTGTCTTCTTCTTTAATCCATTTTATGGTAATTGTATTCAAGATCCTTATGAATTAAACATTCATTATTTCCAAACTAGGAATCTATCACTAAAACTATGCTAATGTGTAATGTACTAATATTGGTTGTAATTATCCTCCATTATAACTCAATTAGCTCACAGCTCTGTGGCTGTCGATAGAGACAATGGTGGAGTGTAAATCCATGATTTCCCAGGCAGCACGATGATTTGTCTACTCTGTTTGCTGTCTTGTTAGGGAGAATATGTTTCACAGACTGGCCTGCAGTCTTTGTAGAGGAAACGTTTAATTTCTTACCGGCTGGGCAAATGTGTTAAAGTGACACGATCACCTTGACCTTGCAGGGAAAGGTTATATTGTCTCTGCTCTTTGCACCACTGCATCCAGTGCTGAGATTGGCTGTGTTGGTGACACAGGGGATTGATGATGTCACTTCTCCATTCATGTGACAGATCACAGGCCTAGCAGTTGGCTGCTTGGAGGACCAGGTTCCTCAGTACCCAAATTGCAGGGTACTTTCCTTGGCTGCAGGAAAGCAAGGAGCTGCAAGAGAGTGCAGGTAGGGTAAATATGCAAGGGTCAGGGAATGCAGGAACACTGTCACTTTGACCTGAAATCTAAGGAGGCAGTAATTCTTTAAAGAGCATTGTGAGTACATATGTGGCTGCTGAAATCCATCTTTTGAAAAATCTTCCAAGAAACATACACATTTAGATTGTATGTGCGTGTATGTTTATATCAATGCTATAGAGCAGCCTTTTTCTGGAGTTGACAGTAGTGGTAACCAAAATGTTTTAACGTTAATATATATATATATATACAACACTATCCCAGATAGCAAGGATAACTTGCTACAAACGTGTGGCAGGGTGAAATTTTAATTTTGTTAACTTGCTGCACATATTCCTGGCAAGTTGTAGACTTGCAGAACACTCGCAGCACAAGTTCTAGTTGACACTTTTTGAATTTGTAGCAAATTTGCTTGGCAAGTCTACAGCAAGAGTCCTGCAGGTCTTAGCAAGAGCTCTGCAAGCTCGCTGGTCTGGAGACTTGCAATGCAGACTTGCTGTAATTGTACAACAAAAGTGTGAAGCTTGGCAAGTCTGCAATAGTTTAGCAAGTCATTTTCAAACTTGCAGCTCAATTGCTTGCTATCTGGGTATGTAACCTTACAATATGACATTAAAGTGTACCTAAAGCCAAAATTTTTATTTTATTTTGGATAGAGTAAGTTTTTTTTGGTTTACCATCTGTGCTGCATTGGGGAGATTAACCTTCCCCTCCTGTCTGATAGCCACAACAGAAAGTGAGAGGAAATCCCTTCAAAGTGAGGGAAATACCTGTTGTCACCAGAACTAGTGTCCTAGGGTGTTCTGGTAATAACTCAAAATTTGGGATTTTCTTTGACTTTAGGTGATAACGGTCAGCAGGACAACAGAGAGGGTGAATCTCCCTAACAGGGAACAAAAGAGATATAAAAACCTGACAGGTTTTCTAATCCCTCTTCACTTTATCCAAAACTAAATACTGTAAAAGTTGTGTTTTTAGTTTACCACCTATACTGTATGTCATAAAGAGGTGGGAAATGCCCATGCCGCTACTTCTGCCACGGATTGGGTCGGGAGGAGAAGGAGCGGTCAGAGTTTTTAGCCGGCTTGGGCAGACCTAGGTGAACTTTGTACCAAGCCCAGCCTCATCACTAGTCATCATCAGCTGTATTAGACAACATGAGTAGCTACTGAAGCTGGCAATTCTTTTGCGGGCTCTAAATTCTCCATAAAGTCACTGAGCTACAAATCACTTGGGATTTTTGAAACAAAGACCTTACATTGACTGCAGTTCTTTTTTCCACTAACTACAAAAAATTTAAGGAGAACTCTTTAGCTGCTACAAAATCTCCAGTCTGACATGGGCTTAACACTGACAGCAAACAAGAATTGCCCTTCTCTCTTTATATGCAGAGCAGCCTTTAGTCCATAGTTCTGAAAGGAAAGAATTCAGTTCCCACAATACCTTGGGAGCTGTATTATGATTGGTACTTCGGTAGCCAGCAATGGAAACAAATGATGTAATCAAATCCCCTGCTGATGATTAGCTTCTTGTATGGTGAGCCCCATATACTTTCCATCAATAGCCTGCTGTCAATCAAAGTTCCTGAAGGAAAGGAGCATTTTCCATAGTTCCATCACATGGGACTGTCATGTGTCAGAAGCCTTGTTCTGCCTAATTTTCATATTATTGGGTGGGGTTGGAAGAAAACATGCCAATGTGAATAGTTGGGCTATACATGCTTTCTTTTTGCACCCTAGGCTGTAGGTTCCTCTTCTCTCCTTCTACGTGTGCTCATAATTTCCTGTTGGAACTATTAGTCTCACCTCATTTCATATAAAGTCCCCATAA